TTATGGGCATTTGGACGCTTCTCTATTGGGGTTAGGGATGCTGTCGTGTTAGCCAGAGATAGATTAGAATTCGCATTGGGTTCACATTTATTTTAGGAGAATATGATGACATTGAAGTCAAGTCCAAGTGATGAACATTGAGGCGGTGATCAACTCCTGTTTATCGGCCTAAGCCAGTGATGGGAAATCTACATTCCTATGGCGGGGGCAAGTCTATCTGTTAGATAAATAATACTCGCACAATGCGAATGTGTTCCGAAATGCACGCACAGTCAAGTAACGTTTTAACCAAAGGAATGTAACTTAAGTTTTCTGTTAGTCTGCGCTCCTTCAATGGAGGAGGGACAGCACAACTACACGAACTCTGAACAAGCCCTCTCGCGTCTCGCCGACCTGGACACTGGCATTGAGCTCCTGAAGCCCATCGGCACTCACAAGAATAGAGGAGTGCACGTGGGTGAGGAGGAGACTCGGGACTCGTTCAGGATGTCAGTCGACAATTATGTTAGTCGCGTCGCCCAATTACCGGACATCTGTGGAAAAAGAGCTTCATAGCTCATCGGATTTCTCCAGGATAACTAAAGATTCTGATTTACACGCACCGACTGTGTCCGCTCTCCAGCAAGGTCCTGTAGGTGGATATCTCCTGCTCCAGCTTCATCTTCTCGTTCAGCAGCAGCGAGTATTCGTGCATCTGCCGGTGGGTGTCTGCTCGCAGCTTCTCGAGCTCGGACTCCAGGGCGCCGATGGCGCTGCTGTAACCCGTGAGGCTATCGGCGTTCAACGCCTCTGCGCTTCTCAGCTGCTCTTCGAGACACCGGATCTGGGAGAGACCAACACCCGGGAGGCATCAGAGAGTGCGGACTTTGCGAGTGGCATCACATTTACCGCCCTTGCGTTAATGATGGCATTATAACGTTTAGTAGCCCAGGAGAGGCTCGTTAAAGCTCAAGGCTCTTTTTTTAGGAGGGTCCTGCCAAGCTTCAACAGTCGCGAGTGATAATTGCTACGTAGATTACAATCGAGTTCTTTGCATGAAGTGTTTTTCAATTTTGGCAAATTTGAACCACGCCTCTCGGCGCACAGCGGCCTCCTCTTGCGAGTAACACTGCGGGGTCTTTAACGTCCACTGCGAAGCAGACTGCCGCGCGTTTTCACGGCTGATACGCCCGCGGTATTAATCGGGGCGGCCGCTGGATTCGAACCGCGAACCTCCCTGCGTGTCCGACGCCGCTGCCCCACGCCGGCATCGGTGGCCGGGCGCGGCACGTGAGCGAGCGCTGTGCGGGAAGTCCTCACCAGGCCCCACAGCGTGTCCAGCTCCTTCTGGAGACTCTGGGTGGAGTGGTTCATGTCCGAGATTTCGTCCTTGACGAGCTGGGAGGCCTGCTTCTTTTCAGAAACCGTCACGTTCACCGTGTCCATCTTCGCCGAGGAATCGGCATGGCGGGAGAGACGGGAGAAGAAACCCGCAGCAAGGGTAAGTACGAGTTGTGGAAGAGTACACGCACAGCGAATGGGAGGGGGTCGCATTGTGTCCACATAGCCACATTAGACGCGGCATTCACAGCAAAAAACAAATGAACCCCTTGAGTTCAACTGCATCGTAATGAGCGGACGTCTGGGACTGTCATTACAACGGATTCTAGGCTGTGAGGTCTCGTTGGCTTGTGGCGGGATGACGACGACCTTCTGTTTGTAGGCGAACTCCATCTCCTCGTGGGTCTTGACGATCATCGCCTCGTACTGCCGGCGCAGTCCGGCCAGGATCTCGCTCAGGTCCGACCCCTTGGTGCTGGCCACCTCCACGGACACAGAGGACGCTTCCAGCCGGGCACCGAGGGTGGCCGTGTCCTGCAGGGCACACCAAAGACAAAGGCCCCCCCGTGTAGCCTTAACAGACTGTTGGGGCAAGTGCTGTTGGCGAGTAGCACCGACGAAGGCCGGCACTGTAGCACACGAGGGGGTCAGCGCCACGCACGGCCGCCTTTGTCTCCCTTTTGACGACGTTCGTACATCGCACCAGGTAATCATTTGAGGCCGAGTCGACCTAGGGGAGGCCCAGGGCCGGTTCAGACATTCGCTGTCACCGTTATTGGCTGTGAGCGGGAATCGAACCCGGGCGCCCAGGTTCGTAGCGCTGCGCCGCTAACCCATCGCAGGGCGCGCCGCAAGCACCGTGGGCACGGTCGAGATGTGGATGCGGGGAGAGGGGGAGGCTGATGGAGAGGAAGATCGATGAGAGGGTCGCGAATGGCATCGGCGAGGGAGGAGTGGGGATGGAAGTCGCCGGGAGAGAAGATTGGAGGGCACGGTTTGATGAACCGAAGGAGGGAATGGAAGGGGTGAGAATGAGAGGCTAAGCCGAGGATCGGTAATGGTGGAAATGAAGAGGAGGGCAGAGGATGGAGGATGGAGAGCCACTCCAGACGCTTTGTTCCGAAAGCCAGCAATATCAGGACTGAATTTTGATTTAAAGCTTTCGCGACTGCAGTGATTCATATTCTTGGTTCTTTCGGTAAAGTCACGTTGAAGGGAAACAATAAAATATATTGTTGTTTTATATATATTTTATTATTTTATTGTTTTCCTTCAACGTGACTTTACCGAAAGAGCCAAGAATATAGTGACGCAATGGTTTGGGCACTGCGCAATGAACCTGGTGAGATGGGTTTGACTCAGAGAGCAAGCATCAGGACTGTCTTTTCCCACCTCCCGTCCGGCACATCACACGGCTGTGAGCCACAAAACACCGCACTCCATGCACAGACACAGCGCACGAGTGGCAGCCCCCTCGGCGACCTGCTTGTGAGTTTTCCTGATGTAGTGCAGCTCCTCGGACAGCGCCTCGATCTCCGCCTCGGCGCCCGCGCCCGCCACGCCGTACTCCTCCAGCAGCGCGTAGAGCCTGGCGATGTCCTCCTCCACGCAGCTGCGAGCGCTGCGCTCCGTCTCGAGCCTGGGGAAGAGCGAACGCCGTCGTGAGCACGCGGCCGGTCAGTGAGAAATGAGTCGCGTGGCGGTTTTGCCTCCTTGGAAGAGTCCGCATGTGTTAAGCTGACAACAGCGATGCAAATGTCGCGGAGATTGTTTTGGCTTTGTCCAGGAATCTCGATGAGCCGTGTCCTCACTCAAGGATATCACGATCATGGCCTTCCTTCCACTCAGCTCTTTCCGTAATATTTACTCAAATCATGCATCCAATGCTCCCAGTGGAGTCCAGTCCTTCAAATTGCTTATGGAACTAAATTCGTTGAATTACACGGCTTCTTGTATCTACAATTTTCCCAGTCAAAGCATTATATTTAGTTCATCGTGACAATTGATCTAATTCTGTAATAATGTTTTATCTTGACTTGTAATTTGGCTAAAGGAGCGCAAACATTAAATTCGCCTCCCTGGAAATGCCACGAATTGTCCCAATTCCGAGTCCCGCAAAAATGTTATTATATATTTTATTTGACTTACAAACGAGGCGATGAGAATGTTTCCTCCTGTTATTTAAAGCATACGTTGGGGAAGCGTCATACAATCCGAATTTCTTATTTTAAATTAATATTAATCACGGGTTGTACATTAGTTCCGAATATTCTTCCAGAAGGCATCCATTGCTCGGTGTTCATAATCATCATCCTGCAGACGGCTGTCCATGGCACCGCGCATGCTCAGGGTGAGACCCCGCGTCCCTCTGATCCTGTGTTGTGTCGCGGCACTTGTCACGACCCTGTTCCACTCCCTTCCTCGGCAACTCAGATTTTTCATAAAATGTTTCACTTTTCAAATTCACCCCAAAGTGGGTCACCACCATGCAGCCTCTGGGATTGACCCGGACACTTCCGGGATTCGGGGTCTGCGCTCAGGAGGCAGGAATTTATTTGTACCGAGACCTGGTAACGGTCCTGCACTGTTGAACTATACCAGAGTAAGCTGCAGTGTTGGTAATAGTCCTCGGCTGACTGAGGCCACGTGTCCATGTTTGGTGTGCAGTAGAAAAGGTGATAAACCCTCTCCCAAAGTTTGGGGTGCGTCTTATGTCCGGGACATCTTAGAAGAGAGACACCCTTGGGATTGCCAGTTACTGCAGTGCCTTGCTTGTAGGGGGGACCTGATTTACTTTCGCTAAATGTAGAAGTTATTTTACGTGGAACAAAGACGAAGATCCCCCATATAGCCTTCACTAGGCTCTTTGAGTAAGTGCCGTCTATAGCGAGCACTTATTTAGGCCGGCATGGGACACGTGGTGGGCCAGCACCACGCCCGGCCACCTTTGTCTCCCCAGTGATGATGATGAGACACCGCACCAGATATTCATTCAAGGCCGAGTCGACCAAGGCGAGGCCCAGGACCGCTTCAAATATTCGCCACTTTAGTTGGTCGTGAGCGGGAATCGAACTCGGGTGGCCAGGTTTGTAGTGCAGTGCGCTAGCTACACACGCACGCACACGCATGCGCATGCACACGCACACACACGCCCACACACACACGCGGACAACGCCTGCGCCCACTTGTAGTGGAAGTCGTCGGCTGCCAGGCGCGCATTTTCTATCTTCACTCCGGCGCGCGCATTGTCCACGATCTGGCTCTTGATCTGCAAGAGATCAAACGCGGTGACGGGAGCTGTGCGCATCGTAGGGGCTCTTGTTAAGGGCGCCCTGGGATGTGAGCATGAACTCCGCTGATTGGATACCTGGGCTGAGACAAAATAATGTCAATATAGTACAAAACGGGACATCCCTTCCTGCCTTGCGTGTTGCCTTAGCATGTGGGCGAGAACGCCTGTAGAGAAACGTCTGCTAAAGCTGCATCGCTGAACCAATATTCATTCGGCCTGTGAATAACAGATTCACTTCGTATGGTGCGAAAGAAGTGAAACATACATTATAGTTACTCATACAGTTATTCTTTCTCAATGGAAAAGGAAATTACTATCAAAAAAATCCTCCCCTTATCTGTACCTTAGTACGTGAACTACTACAGGTTTGTGTTGTTTTACAAATGCGAGGAACACAACTTGTGCCTGAAAGCGTTCTTTGTTGCAGAAAACGAGCGGCTACATTGTATATAGACAGTTAACCCTGGGCTGAATATTAAACAATTTTAATTTTTATACAGCACCCAACAGTTCGTGTTGTAACACGTGGTTAAAATTCCAACTCTCATTACACCCAGCAATGCCATGCACATTGTTGGGTGCACATTGCTGCATCACGGCAGAGGGGCTCTTGGGGAAGTGTGTGGAGCAGATGCGGGCGTCTCTGTGCCTGAGACCGACTTCGCCTCGTGCGTTCGTGTCTGCAGCAAAGTGAGAAGTGAAGATGAATGTATCTGCGAAGGTCGCCCTCTTATTGGGGTTTGTTTACATCCGCTCGTCGTGGCGTCCGTCGTTCAAGATTATGGTTGGCTGCCAAGCGAAGTCCAATTACCAGGCCAGGCCACTGAGTAGGTTCGTCCCCGTAACAGGGCGGATTGTGCAAGACGCTCCGCGTGCAATGGAGACAATGAACTTTGACCTCGCCAATCTGTGCGGTTGCGGGTTCACACCTCGTGTATTTCACTCGGAACGGATAACCTCCAACTGCCATTGACAGAACGGATAACCTCCAACTGCCATTGACAGAACGGATAACCTCCAACTGCCATTGACAGAACGGATAACCTCCAACTGCCATTGACAGAACGGATAACCTCCAACTGCCATTGACAGAACGGATAACCTCCCACTGCCATTGACAGAACGGATAACCTTCAACTGCCATTGACAGAACGGATAACCTCCAACTGCCATTGACAGAACGGATAACCTCCAACTGCCATTGACAGAACGGATAACCTCCAACTGCCATTGACAGAATGGATAACCTCCAACTGCCATTGACAGAACGGATAACCTCCAACTGCCATTGACAGAACGGATAACCTCCAACTGCCATTGACAGAACGGATAACCTCCAACTGCCATTGACAGAACGGATAACCTCCAACTGCCATTGACAGAACGGATAACCTCCAACTGCCATTGACAGAACGGATAACCTCCGAACTGCCATTGACAGAACGGATAACCTCCAACTGCCATTGACAGAACGGATAACCTCCAACTGCCATTGACAGAACGGATAACCTCCAACTGCCATTGACAGAACGGATAACCTCCAACTGCCATTGACAGAACGGATAACCTCCAACTGCCATTGACAGAACGTTGCGGTAATCGTGGTGAAACGAGGACACGGATTATCTTTTCAACATCAATCATCCAGGCGCCCAGCACTTCGCTTCGTCTTCTCCTGCTGCCCGTTTGGCTGAGCCCAACGGGTAGCAGGAGATGTCTATAACAGCCATGGATGAGATAAGGGGCCATCCATTTAGTACGTACGCATGGAGCGGGGGTTAACCCAAATGCGTACGCTTGCGTATGGGGGGTCTACTGACAATGTACGCATAGGAAACGGGGTGGGGGGGGGGGTGTAAAAAGTCCGCGTGCGTACAGGGAGGGGGGGAGGGGACAAGTTATTGACAGATGTTTGCGTATGTACTCAGTGGATGGCCCATAAGTTGTAAATCGATATAGAAATTAATTCCAGGTATCGAAAATGTCTAAAACCTTTGTATGTATGTTAAACTTCTTTCGCACCGTACATAGGCAACCGTGCTAGCCACGATGCGGTGCTTGCATCTCACCTTGGCACAAAGCTCCTCTGCCGCAGTGAACCTGCTGCTGCTGCCCTGGATCTTGCCATGGCCACTCTTGAGCAGCTCCTTGATCTTCACCTCCAGCTCATGGTTCACGCCCTCCAGGTAATGTACCTTGCACAGGTTCGGACAAGGTCGTTCAGGGTGCTGCCTTCACACAATCAACTATTTCTATATTCTTTGGGTCTTTCGTTAAAGTCACGTACTGTAGATAGGTTAAAAATAATAATAAAATAAACAAAAAACTACGACGTTTCGATCGCAACACAAGCGATCGTCACCCCTTTCACCTCCCCCCCCCCTTTTTCCTCCTGATGACGATTACTTGTGTTGCGATCAAAACATCATAGTTTTATTATTTTTTGAACCTATCGATGTGACTTTACCGAAAGACCCAAAGAATATCAATTCCTGCAGTCACGAAAACTTTAAGTCAAGATTTAAACTTTGTTTTTTTTTACCAGGTAAGGCCCATTGAGCCATTTATCTATTTTTCATGAGCGACCTGGCTATCAGAAATGATGGCTCAACAAAGTGGCTTATCTTGTGGAAATTTATAGCAGCCAAATACTCTAAGCATACGGCGAATATAAGTGTGGAGGGAAAAACCGGAGAACCCGGAGGAAAATCCATGCGACCACGGGAAGAGAACACGCAATCTCCAAATATGCAGGCGTCAGGGTCGGGATTGAACCCACAGCCTCCTGTATACCAGGTGAGGTAGTTAACATCTCCTAGCCACCGTGACCTGGCCACACCAAGCGTTCTAAAGCAGGTGTCCAGATGACATCGATTGAGTGCAGTGTTTGTATGTATGCTGAACTTCTTTCACACCGTACGTAGCCAACAGACAAGAGACAACTCCATAGTTTATTTAATTCACGGCTAACATCCCTGGTGAGGGACATTTGAAGCAGGATTCAAAATGTACAATCATCACTGTCATCATTATCAGACAATTGCTCTCCAGCCCTGGATGGAGGCTTCTCCACGCCATTCCTCGTGATTTAGTTACGCCACAATCCATCCGTCTCACTTCTGCACATTAACTCCTCTCATTGCTACATCCCTGTGGTGGACACTTTCTCTGGGGTGCCTTCGCTCCTTCGGCTGCCGTTTCATCTCCAGTTGTGGGTCACTGGCCATCGTCCCTTTTGTCCAAGCGTAATGCCCAAGCCCATTTACCTCTCGAAACAGGCTACATCGTGTCTTGTGATTTGTATTCCCTGAGTGTGTGTGCCTGTATTTTTGTATTGGCTCGGTATCCCTCAACTCTGCTTTCGGAACTTTCCAGCTGTTATTTCGAATTATTTGTGAGTGTCCGCGTTTCTGATGTAACTTTGATCCATGGGTCATAGCTGGCATCAGGACGTACACGGATTGAAAACCTGATCCAGTCAACACTAAAAGCTGGTATCGAACTTATTAACAGCCAAGGTCTTAATACAAATATATTGAAACCATTTACAAAGCAAGGAACTGTGAAGTTGAAATTGCATGAGACAAGAAAAATACAAATCACAAGACGGAGCTGGGCTGTTCACAACAACATTATAAAATACTTGACCAATGCAAGCTGCATTGGACAAATGAAGTTATAAACGTGCAGGACAAAGTGAACTGATGGCAGCATCCATTGAAGCTGCATACAAACGAAAGAATATATACCAAGGGCAATCAAAGACGGCAGATTGATGTTAAAATGGTGAAATTAAATGGCAAATGTGAGCCGGATGGAGCTATTTTGTAATGCTGACCTTGCCAATGGAAACTTTATGAGCAAGTGCGCCTGAAAAGCGTGTCATATTGTTCAGAACTATTTCTGTAATCAGCATTGAGTCCCACGCTGTAGCTGATGACGACTCCTTGTCGATAGCACTCCCGAGTCCACGGCTGCGTTGACTAGCTGATGACCAGTAATGAGGTAGAAATGCCTCAGCTTCTCCCTAAATGCCAAATCTATTGCCAGAAAGCTTCGTCGGCCCAAACATTCAACAATATTTGTCGTAGCCTAAAATTTCCCGTTTAAAAAAAAGTAATATTTATTTAACTTTAACACTTTTCTAATTTCGTCAAACGTAGCGATTGGCAATGGCTTTACATGAATGGGGACCTCAGCGGCTTCAAGGTCCCCAGGGTGGCTGCGCCGTTCATGGCGGTCGCTCCAGGGGAGGCTCCAGGGCCGCGCGTCACGGGACTTGGCTTGGGGTCGCTCGCGGGGACCCGGCCGCTCGGCCGCTCGAAGCGACAACGGCCGCAGCGAGCCGGAGCGTCGCCGCGGGCCCCGAGCGGCCCCACGCGCGCCCGGGGCCCTTCCGCTTACCTTGGCGATGTATTCCGCCAAGCGTTCGTTCAGACCCCGCATCTCCGCCTTCTCGTCCGCCGCGCCGTTCGCGCCCAAAGACTCCGCGGCCAGGGCGGCGGCCGTGGCGCCCGCTCCGCCGCCACCACCGAGGGCGAGGCCCGGGTAGAAGGTCCGCGCCGCCGTCTCCCTCGGGCGACCGCCGTACGCAAAGTCGAGGGAGGAGCGCCGCCTGTGCGCCATCTCCGCGCCTCTGGGACGGTCGCCGGCTGTGAGGAACGCGGCGCCCTCGCTGAGAGGACGGCTCCGGCTCGCGGCCGTCGAGCGGTGCCAGCGAATTCTGAACGGACGCGGCGAGGCGCTGAGGCGGGCGGGGGCGGGGGGGCAGCGCGCGTGGAGGGGCGCCCAGGTGTGCTGCCTGAGGGGGCATTACTGCGCTGATGGTGGTGGAGTTGGTGGTGGTGGATTTGGTTTGCTTTGGAAGGCAGCCAGGGGAATGAGCGGGTGCCAGGAGTCAGAGTGGAGGGGAGCCACAACGCCGCTCTGGCACGAACACGCGTTGGGGATTTCTTCGCATTGGGGTTTAACGGAGAGCGGGACAATAGTTGCATAAACCAGGCAATTAAATGCTCAACAATCGGTGAAATAGCCATGTATGTGTAAAACAAATACTACTCGTACAATGATCCCTGCCACGGTATGGCAGCATTTTGTGAGTGCAGATGTAAGGTTTATAAACTCAGGGATGTGTGCACACCTTTGTTTTACAATTACAAGCCCTAAAGAAGTCATGGTGGACTAGCTTGGGCTCACAGCCGGACTGCACGGCCACTTAAGATAGCTGCGGAGAAGCCGCAGTCATTTTCCCCGTCACCATCCACTCCTGCCCACCAGTGTGAACCCGGGGCACGTGACATTCAACAGGTTAACATCAAACAACCACACAACTACTTATGTACACATTGTGGTGATGCTTGCGTTGGCAAACCTAATATATACAAATATATAATAGTTAACGTTTCGGGCAATGACCCTTCTTCATGACATGTGACTGATTTGTAAATAAATGGCTGTTTTTCAATGCACGTATATTGCGATTAATAATAATTGGCTGTGCGTTCGATGGTGTGTACATGTGTTGTGAGATCACTCTCCAAAGACGCCGGTGGTGATGCTGGCGCAGTAACAAGTTTGGCACGTTTGATTCACGTGACACTATTATTAGTTGGCTCTGCGGGTGGAGGAGGGTTCACGACACACATTTTTACACTACTACCTAACTCAAATTAAACCAATAACACTGGCCGTGAAAGCCTACGTGTAAAATTTGCACATATATCATTATACTCTGAAGAATGGAAATTTCCCAAAACGTCACTTATTATACATTTGTTGCGTCTTGTTGAGTTTTTTGTGTTCCCTGTGAACAGCAGTATATGTATATCGCGCCGTTATTATGTTTTTGAAATGCAGTCCAGTGGACAAAGCTCATCCTTGCGACACAGATGTGCGCACCAGACGGGGATCGGACCCCGTGAAGCTTCGTACGAAAGTTGATGACGCATCCACGAATGTACCGACGCATTTTTTTTTTGTTTTTACTCGGAGCGCAGTGGGATTCCAAGCGCGCGACTGTGACCCAGGCATGCACGTGCCTGCCCCGTGTATCTGAATAAAGCCGCGCTCTGCAAATTTCCTGGGCGATCGCTGCTGCTGCTTCTTGCAACCATCAGGCAACTGGCACCCACTGGAAATGCTCAGTGCCCTCTTCACATCCCAAACTTCCCTTCGCTTCCTCTCACCCCATAAGCGGCCCTCTATGTGCGCGCGAGAAGTCGGGCGGGTCGAGAGACGACTCGAAGAGGAACGCGCCCGAGACGACGCGCACGGCGCACACGCAGTGCCGAGGTCGGTTCGCGTGCAGGGTGCGAGGGTAACTGTCGCATCGCGGAGCCGTGATGAGAGATGGAGGCTGCTTGGGAAGGCCTTCATCCAGCAGTGGATTAATGAAGGCCGATGGCAACGATGACGAAGGGTAGCGGGGGAGACACGAGGCCCTTGGCCACGGCACGCGAAGTCACGTGTCGCTCGCCGTGACCGTAGGGACCCACACCGGCCCGAGGGAAGTACAATGACTTCGAGTCGCATCACCAAAGCAGCGCTGGGACCACAGAGAGTGCGGACTCCGTATGCAGCCCTGGTGCCGATCTTGGCAAAGGTGTTTCGTGTGAATGTGAGAGTGACCTGTGTGTAACTGAATGTGTGTGTGTAACAATGTATGTGTAACTGAATGTGTGTAACTGAATGTGTGTAACTGATTGTGTAACTGAATGTGAATGACATGTGTGTGTGTAACTGTGTGTAACTGAATGTGTGTGTAACTTAATGTGAATGACGTGTGTGTGTAACTGCATGCGTGTAACTGAATGTGTGTGTAATTGAATGTAACAGAATGTGTAACTGATTGTGTAACTGAATGTGAATGACATGTGTGTGTGTAACTGAATGTGTGTAACTGAATGTGTGTGTAACTGAATGTGAATGACATGTGTGTGTGTGTGTAACTGAATGTGTGTAACTGAATGTGTGTAACTGTGTGTGTAACTGCATGTGTGTAACTGAATGTGTGTGTGTAACTAAAGGTGTGTGTAACTGATTGTGTGTAACTGCATGTAACTGAATGTGTGTGTAACTGAATGTGAATGACGTGTGTGTGTAACTGAATGTGTGTAACTGATTGTGTGTGTGTAACTGCATGTGTGTAACTGCTTGTTGGGCAGATTTCTGACTTGCCCTGACACGAAGCACAGCAGCAGCCCCACAATGCGCACTTTATCATTCCCCGATGATTAAGACCGCTCTCAAGTACGGTGAGTGGGGAACTACTGGATTACATTTACACATTGAGCGCGTGCGTACTGCTGATAACCACATCATCATCGGCTATTGTCTATCAACTACTGGACGAAGGCCTCCTTACAACGTAGCCATCACTCAAACCCAGTGATGGCTCCCGTTCAGCACCTCCTGCACACGGACTGATCTCATCGCTCCATCTCCTTGGCGGAATCATCAAATCATTTGTTTAAAGATAGGGACCCATTTATATCATTAGTGGGTTCTTAGTTGGACACAAAACTCGTAATCATTGAGCGTCGGTTGTGGGTCTGCGGGTGGACGCGCCATATGCTGTGGGTGACCACACAGCCACCTGTCCGCTTTGATGTGAACACAGCTCAATGACGGCATCTGTACAATTCATGCCAGCGTCCTCTTTGCGACCGAAGCTTCTTTACATAAAACCAACCATCACTCAGCAGCTGCCCAAGGCCCGCCGGCTTCCACAGACTGGCGATGGTCAAGCGCTGCATCTCCCTCGCCACGAGAGGCGCGTCAACGCCTCGCGTGGCCGCACGCTCGACTCGCACCCGAGTGTTCAGCCTGATTGCGACCGCTTGGGTTGCGATCGAAACGTCGTAGTTTGTTATTGTCTTTGAACCTATCTACGTGACATTACCGAAATACCCAAAGAATATGAAATCCTGCATTCACGAAAGCTTTGAGTCAAGATGTTGTTCACTTTCTCTGCAGTGTCTGACATAACTCTTACCGTGGCATAACCAATGCATTGTTGTTAAAGAGGTGAAACAAACAATCTTTACAAAGTCAACATTTATTTTATTTGGCGACTGAGCATACAATTGTTCATTCTAACAAAAACAAACTCAACACGTCGAGAGGTTGCTGCAGGGTCTAGAAGGCACGGCAATTCTACTTTCTATCGGTGCCAAGGTAATGTGCTCTCCACACATCGTGCGTGTACAAAACAGTTTATTAACAGACCTTCAGAAGAGAATTATAAACACGCCACTACCCACGATGCATTCACTGCGGGTTTGGATTGGGTCACGACGGAGCTAGAAGAACACCCACGGTGTATTCGTTGTCGTAGTTTGGAGCGGTGTTGAGATACTGGGTACAAAGCAACATCACCCTCGCTGCAAAATAACATTACACAGTCCGCAACGAACAACCCGAATCAATTACGAACTGCACGTGTGACCCGAAAGCATACACAGTACAGCACAGCGACCCATCATTTAACACATTCATTGCATTTGTGGCAAAAGTATTGGTGTGGCATGGATTATTACAGAGTGGATTGGCCAACTAAACGCGTACACACGGAAACAAACCAAAGCCACTGCCTCCCTGTTCCGACATGCAAGTGCTCCCTCTGTTGGCGCCCGCCGAGCTAACACGGGAAATTCCACATTCCCATGGTCGGTCACCCCCATCATACCACGCCCATTCCTGTCCTGGCACAGGACGTCATGTTATTGACCACGATGGGCTGATGATGGGCCGAGGCGAACTCTGACCTGAGTTTGAACTTGCGGCATTAAGGTTGCGTATAAAGCACTCGAACCAAAGCCGTACACATCTGGGTTTAAAAAATATATCGCTTTAAGACTGAACTCAAGAACAACCAGTTGCTATGCATGGTAGGTGCAAGCCCTTAGCCGTCTGATAAGTCCAACGCTCTGTGAATGAGAAAACAATACTTCTAGCCAAAGCGTGAGTGTCAGAAGCGTCACGATAGCGACTTCTAGCGACATCAGCCTGATGCGACTGTGCGTATTGCACAAAGTCAATACTGCCGAACGGGCATACACGGGGACTGTAACTTGAGAGGACACTGCCAGTCTCCCGACTCGTTTAACCTCAACGACTGCACCGCACGGAGGTCCGGCAACGCTTCTGTCGCAGCCTCAACGCCCGCCGGCAGCCACGCGCGCGTCACCTCCACGCCCACACGTCTAGCACGGCATTCTCACAAGGGGGGTGTGTGTGGATGGCACCCAAAATCACAGGGGGAGCACGACAAAGTCGGTGTTAAATCTCAAACGAATGTTCAGCTAAAGTTCAGCAATGTGGGAGGTGTGGGGGGCTCAGGCCCTTCCAAAGCTGCGGGTTTCACCCCCAGACCCATCGCAAGGGCGCGGGAACCCAGTCGCCTCGGCTAAGGCACAGGACAGCGCTTGGCAGGGGACTTCACAACCCGCGACGGCGGCAATAATCGGTGCCGGAGACCCGCGACGGGCGTTCGAAAGTATTCAGCCGCTTTATTATTTACACAAGCAGGTCGGAGCCACGCATCGGAATCGTTTATTTGACGTCTCCCTCCAAGACGAAGTGTATGAGGAGGGAGACGTCCACGATGGAGGGGGAAGGCAGGCGAGTGGGCAGCACGAAGAGTCTGCCCACCCGCTGATGCTGCTCGTCCGAGTCGAGGCCCAGCGCGGTGTAGAGTGCTGCGACGTTGCACGCGCCCGCCACGTCCTGCAGCAAGCACACGGCCACACTCGCTCACGGCGCCGCACGGAACCCCACGCTCACCGCGGCGCTCCTCAATACCACAGTTGTCTGTGCGGCCTTGACAGCAAAGATAATAGGCAACGTTTCGGGGCAACGGCCCTTCACAGCACATACGTAGAAGAGAATGCCTCCAATTCAGGGTCACGATTCTATAATCAAGGATATTTGTGTCTTGTTTGTACTGTTTTATATGCATGGCTTGCATGTCCTTTCCTGCTCGTTCTGTTACATCAACGTGAAGGTACACTAACATATCATTTACACACGTGTATGAATTGTTCATTGATTTCACTGTATGAGTTGTGTGTGTGTGTGCACACAGAAAGGCCCCTATGGTATTGCAGGTTGTCCCTGTGTTGCCATTCATCTTAAAATATTTCACTTCTGAGCAGACTGACCTCTCGTTCTGGCTAACACAAGTATTTTCCAGCTGCTAGGGATGGGCATTAGCTGTTATGCCGTGATTAACTTGTTTGACAGGCTCCTCCGTGATAGCTCGACTTGGCGTTTCTTAAACATCATGCGCAAAGTAGCTCCGTGCGGTACAGTAGGTGTGATGTACCGGGGTTAGTTCTCACAATGCCAATTGTCAGGTAGAACGAAGTTGGCGACACAATTAAAGTTTTTTAAGTTCATTCACACCGATGTCTAACAGTTGCTCCTCGTTGGCCGTGTGTAAACATCGTCGACGTCAGTACAAAAACATGGCCTTTGTGAAACAACAGTGAACGCCTCTAACTGTGCTGATACTGCCGGGGGGGGGGGAGGGGGGTGTAATGATGACCGGATCCTAGTATCCATGTTTATATACGCATTTTACATCACTGCAAAACCGCAGATAAATGCGGATAATAGCATAACTTTACCATGATCTCTGGGTTATTTTGAGCATTGTGCAAAATTCATCATGAGTTCCTGAAGAAGTGCATTGTGGGTCTTTTTCTTAGGTCGGCATCAAAATAAATTTGAGCAAATGTGATCGTCTGCCAGTCGTGATGCAGTGACAGAAAACTGTGGACTGGTTTTGTCTCAATTAGGACCCGTCAGCACAGTATAGTCACCAATGCCTGCCGCTGAAAAGTCTGTCTCTGGGAACGAAATATGTAGAGTTCCCCACATTCACACGAGAGGGCCCATTAACTTAGATAATTCTGACAATACATCTTTAAGTTATGACAATAATAGGATGTTGCCCTGACGTCTGGGTTCAATCTCTTATAATTAGGAGGGTCCACGGATCAATTCAGGAACGCAGATTAGAAGAAGAGCGGGTAATCAGAGGCAGGATTGTAAATACGACTTCCACTGTATGGGACAAACCGTGACCGTGCGTGTGGTGCCGGTAGGCTGGAGCGCAGCTGGTGGATCATGCACGTGGCAGGGAGGCACGGGTGCGAGATGGCGAGCGAGCGAGCGAGCACCACTCACCTGCTTGTGGGCCAGGACTATGGTAGGGATGTTCAGGCCGGAACCCGCCTGCATCAGTTTCTGCAGCTCCCCTCTAGCGAGCGGGAGGCGCGCGTGGTCCGCACAGTCCACCACAAACAGCATCACGTCCACGTTCTGCGAAGTAGGAAGGGATATTCACTCGGGTGACTGCTGGGGCTAAGGCTGTTGGTGAGCACCTCTTAAGACCAGCGTGGTACTCAAGGATGTGCAACTGGCCCCATGTGTATCCCCAGTGCTGATGTGGACACGCTAAACCCGGTACCTACTTTTAATTCAGCACTGACCTAGGCCAGGTTCAAATAGCAGTCAACACCATTGCTGTTCATGCATGTTATTAACCACTAAGCCTTTAACGATTTGACGAATTGTCGAGACTCAGGGTTGCAACTTGATTCGAGAATCAATTTTATTTGCTTTTGTGTTCAATATATTGTCCTCCAGTGGCAAGTGGGGTCATGCAAGCCAATGACATACAAGGTATACAAATGATCACGAATCGTTTGTTAAAAGCACAATTTAAGAACCCATTTAGCTTCATTAATCGATGCATAATAGCACCCCAAGTAACCATCATCATTACCCAGCCATGATCAATCCACCGCTGGACAAAGACCTCCCCAAGGGCGATGCAACAATGCATCCGACAGGTGACCGGATTTCACGGCTCCATCTCTAAAGCTTGACGTCTGCTCGGACATGTTCCATCCACTCCTTGGCTCGTACCCACAATGTCATAAACTCTGCTGCAACCTCGTCAATTCTCGATGCACGCCACCTGCAATGTGCAGCTATCGCACACCAACAGCTTGCTGTGCGATTCTCATTTTTCTCAAGCGTAACGACCACATTGCCACTGTTCAACAAACTCACTCGCATGTGATACAACACAACGGTGACGGAGGCGTGTTGACCGTGGAATTATTTTGCTCGGACGGCTGAAGGACACGACGGTAATCATTACAACGATGGTCTGTAGGTGTACATCGGTGTGCCGGTGCAGTCGCTCGGGCTTCCTCCGAGTACCGAGTGTCGGCGCTCGTCACGTTGGACGCGAGTGCGTTGTGGCGACACCACACCTGTAAGTAGCGCTGCCAGTGGGGCCGCAGGTCTTCGCTTCCCCCAACTGTCCACGTGTCACATGGTAACACGAACACACACACGGACGGACGAAGATGAACGATCCCCCACGCGGCCATGGGGACTGTTGCAGGAAGTCCTGTTAGTGAGCACCTATTAAGGCTGGCATGGCACTCGACGGGGTAGTGTGGGCAAGCTCTTTGCCTGGCCACCTTTGTATTCGCACTGCCGATGCCCACATGCCACACCGGATACTCACAGAAGGCCGAGCCAACCTAGGGGAGGACCAGAACAGGTTCGGACACAACCTGCCAATGATATTAACTAATGCCTGGGAATGAATGATTTGTAGCATAGTGTGCGAACCACTATACCATCAATCCCCATACCAAATAAAAATTTCCCCCGTACGGTCTTTTATAGACTGGGAAAGTGCCACTTGTGTGCACCCATTCAGGGCAGCATGGCACACGAGGGCGTGGTGGCCAGCACCAAGCCTGGCCGGGGATCAAACTCAGGTGGCCAGGTACGGAGCGCAGTGCGCTAACCACTGCAACACCGTTACAATTGACGTAGGTAACATGTAATAATGAAATGTGCTATGCCATGGAAACAAGTGTCATGAACTCAATACAGCTTTTATAATTGCATTCTGATTGATAATTTATGTAAATTAACCTCAGATTCCCATTCACACTGCCCTCTACAAATGTTTAACGTATTACTACCCAGTTGGAATGTTAATGAACCCTCCCCCATGGCTTGGCTTGCTCACTTGAGATAGGGATACCTACAGTGAAGGAAAAAGTATTTGATCCCCTGCTGATTTTGTACGTTTGCCCACTGACAAAGAAATGATCAGTCTAAAATTTTGATAGGTTTATTTGAACAGTGAGAGACAGAATAACAACAAAATCCAGAAAAACGCATTTCAAAAATGTTATAAATTGATTTGCATTTTAATGAGGGAAATAAGTATTTGACCCCTCTGCAAAACATGACTTAGTACTTGGTGGCAAAACCCTTGTTGGCAATCACAGAGGTCAGACGTTTCTTGTAGTTGGCCACCAGGTTTGCACACATTTCAGGAGGGATTTTGTCCCACTCCTCTTTGCAGATCTTCCCCAAGTCATTAAGGTTTCGAGGCTGACGTTTGGAAACTCGAACCTTCAGCTCCCTCCACAGATTTTCTATGGGATTAAGGTCTGGAGACTGGCTAGGCCACTCCAGGACCTTAATGTGCTTTTTCTTGAGCTACTCCTTTGTTGCCTTGGCCGTGTGTTTTGGAAAATTGTCATGCTGGAATACCCATCCACGACCCATTTTCAATGCCCTGGCTGAGGGAAGGAGGTTCTCACCCAAGATTTGACGGTACATGGCCCTGTCCATCGTCCCTTTGATGCGGTGAAGTTGTCCTGTCCCCTTAGCAGAAAAACACCCCCAAAACATGTTTCCACCTCCATGTTTGACGGTGGGGATGGTCTTCTTGGGGTCATAGGCAGCATTCCTCCTCCAAACACAGCGAGTTGAGTTGATGCCAAAGAGCTCCATTTTGATCTCATCTGACCACAACACTTTCACCCAGTTGTCCTCTGAATCATTCAGACGTTCATTGGCAAACTTCAGACGGGCATGTATATGTGCTTTCTTGAGCAGGGGGACCTTGTGGGCGCTGCAGGATTTCAGTCCATCACGGCGTAGTGTGTTACAAATTGTTTTCTTGGTGACTATGGTCCCAGCTGCCTTGAGATCATTGACAAGATCCTCCCGTGTAGTTCTAGGCTGATTCCTCACCGTTCTCATGATCATTGCAACTCCACGAGGTGAGATCTTGCATGGAGCCCCAGGCCGAGGGAGATTGACAGTTCTTTTGTGTTTCTTCCATTTGCGAATAATCGCACCAGCTGTTGTCACCTTCTCACCAAGCTGCTTGGCAATGGTCTTGTAGCCCATTCCAGCCTTGTGTAGGTCTACAATCTTGTCCCTGACATCCTTGGAGAGCTCTTTGGTCTTGGCCATGGTGGAGAGTTTGGAATCTGATTGATTGATTGCTTCTGTGGACAGGTGTCTTTTATCCAGGTAACAAGCTGAGATTAGGAGCACTCCCCTTAAGAGTGTGCTCCTAATCTCAGCTCGTTACCCGTATAAAAGACACCTGAGAGCCAAAAATCTTTCTGATTGAGAGGGGGTCAAATACTTATTTCCCTCATTAAAATGCAAATCAATTTATAACATTTTTGACATGCGTTTTTCTGGATTTTGTTGTTGTTATTCTGTCTCTCACTGTTCAAATAAACCTACCATTAAAATTATAGACTGATCATTTCTTCGTCAGTGGGCAAACGTACAAAATCAGCAGGGGATCAAATACTTTTTTCCCTCACTGTATCTATGATCGTTAATAGTCGGGTTGCCACAAGACAATGTTTCATGATACAATACTACACCATTTTTTAACGATATGACAATTACTGCGACATCAGTTTCCCATAACTCTGCAATTGTGTTTCACAACTGCATCGTATTGTTCTTTGCTATACTACCAGTATAAAGAATACTTCATAGTTCTCCAACTGCACTTCATTCAGCAGAAGTCTGCTATATGCTTGCAGCTGACACGACCCACAACCCAGCGGAGCCTTCACAAGCGGTCGGGGCAAGTGCTGTGGAGCCAACACTGGCGAAGGTTGGCACGGAGCAGGACGAGGTCGGGGTGGCGTCGCCAGCACTACGCTCGGCTGACTCTCTCTCTCTCCAGCGCTCATGTTTAAAAACTGCACTGGGCACTCGTTTAAGGCCGAGTCGACCTAAGTGAGGCACAGCACCAGTATGGGAAAATATGCCACTGATGTTTATTCGTGGCCAAAAATCAAACGCCAGTCGCCAGGTTTGCTACGCAGCCTACTATCTGCAATAGCACCCAAAGAAATGACAAATATTCCCTGTATAGCCTTTGTGTTGTTTACAAGTCGCACATGGTACTAATTTAAGGCCGAGTCAACCTAGGGGAGGCCCAGAACCGGTTCAGATATTCGTCACTGATGTTGAACATGAGCGTGAATTGAACTCGGGTCGCTGGGTTCGTAGCACAGCGCACTAGCTATTTACACGACCGCTGCACACGCGCGCACACACACGTGCACACAAATGCGTGCGCGTGTCGCTGAAAGCCCTCGACGCGCACGTACCCTCCAGATACTTGATGCTGTGCTGCTCCGCGTGGTGCACGCACACCGTGTGCGTGCCCTGCGTGGGCGCTGGCTTGACCTGCGGGGCCGGGCTCCCGGCATAGGGCTGCACCGCCAGCGCCTCCAGCAGGCTCGTCTTACCGGCTCCGTCCAGACCCAGCACCAACACCGTGCCGCCCTTCCGTGCCGGGGCCGCCCCGTCGCCCGTGGGCTCGGCGCTCTCAGCGGCCTGTGCCTCGGTGCGGACCTGCAGCCCCTCCACCACGCGCTCCGTCGTCCCTTCCTGTAGCAGCTCCCCGGTGCAGTCCAGTGGCGTCTCGCTCTGCTCTAGCCGCTCTGCTTGAAGCTCCACAACCGCACTGCTGTGCTGCTCCATTTCTGTTGCGCTGCTCACCAACTGTTCTACACTGTTCTCTGGCTGTTCCGAGCTGTACTCTGGCCGTTCCGAGCTGCTGTGCTCTAGCTGTTTCGTGCTGCTCTGCTGTTCTGTGCTGCTGTGTTCTAGCTGTTCCAAGCTGCTGTGTTCTAGCTGTTCTGTGCTGCTGTGTTCTAGCTGTTCCAAGCTGCTGTGTTCTAGCTGTTCTGTGCTGCTGTGTTCTACCTGTTCTGTGCTGCTGTGCTCGAGCTGTTCTGTGCTGCTGTGTTCTAGCCGTTCTGAGCTGCTGTGTTCTAGCTGTTTCGTGCTGCTCTGCTGTTCTGTGCTGCTGTTCTCTAGCTGTTCTGTGCTGCTGTGTTCTAGCTGTTCCAAGCTGCTGTGTTCTAGCTGTTCCAAGCTGCTGTGTTCTAGCTGTTCTGTGCTGCTGTGCTCGAGCTGTTCTGTGCTGCTGTGTTCTAGCTGTTCCAAGCTGCTGTGTTCTAGCTGTTTCGTGCTGCTCTGCTGTTCTGAGCTGCTGTGCTCTAGCTGTTCCGTGCCACTGTGCTGTTCTGAGCTGCTGTGCTCGAGCTGTTCCAAGCTGCTGTGTTCTAGCTGTTCTGTGCTGCTGTGTTCTAGCTGTTTCGTGCTACTGTGCTGTTCTGTGATGCTGTTCTCTAGCTGTTCCGAGCTGCTGTGCTCTAGCTGTTCCAAGCTGCTGTGCTCGAGCTGTTCTGTGCTGCTGTGCTCTAGCTGTTCCGTGCCACTGTGCTGTTCTGAGCTGCTGTGCTCTAGCTGTTCCAAGCTGCTGTGCTCTAGCTGTTCCGTGCCACTGTGCTGTTCTGAGCTGCTGTGTTTTAGCTGTTCTGAGCTGCTGTGTTCTAGCTGTTCTGAGCTGCTGTGCTCTAGCTGTTCCGTGCCACTGTGCTGTTCTGAGCTGCTGTGCTCTAGCTGTTCCAAGCTGCTGTGCTCTAGCTGTTCCGTGCCACTGTGCTGTTCTGAGCTGCTGTGTTTTAGCTGTTCTGAGCTGCTGTGTTCTAGCTGTTCTGAGCTGCTGTGCTCTAGCTGTTTCGTGCTGCTCTGCTGTTCTGAGCTGCTGTGCTCGAGCTGTTCTGTGCTGCTGTGCTCTAGCTGTTTTGTGCTGCTCTGCTGTTCTGAGCTGCTGTGCTCTAGCTGTTCCGTGCCACTGTGCTGTTCTGAGCTGCTGTTCTCTAGCTGTTCTGAGCTGCTATGCTCTAGCTGTTCTGAGCTGCTATGCTCTAGCTGTTCCGTGCTACTGTGCTGTTCTGTGCTGCTGTTCTCTAGCTGTTCCGTGCTGCTCTGCTCAAGATGTTCCGAGCTGCTGTTCTCTAGCTGTTCTGAGCTGCTCTTCTCAAGCTGTTCCGTGCTGCTCTGCTCAAGCTGTTCCGTGCTGCTCTGCTCAAGCTGTTCCGTGCTGCTCTGCTCAAGCTGTTCCGTGCTGCTCTGCTCTAGCTGTTCTGAGCTGCTCTGCTCAAGCTGTTCCGTGCTGCTCTGCTCAAGCTGTTCCGTGCTGCTCTGCTCAAGCTGTTCCGTGCTGCTGTTTTCTAGCTGATCCGTGGTGCTGTTCTCTAGCGGGTCCGTGCTTTTCTCCAGCTGCTCTGTACTGATGTTTTCTAACTGCTCTGTGCTGCAGTTCTTCAGCTGTTCAGAACTGATGTTCTCCAGCTGTTCCGTGCTGCTGTTCTCCAGCTGCCGTGCGCTGTGTCTCGGTGGCAATATTATGCTCACCGGCAGCAGCTGAGCCGCGTGGCCGCCCCGTGGCACTTCCTTACTCTGCGGTAACTGCCACTCCTCGACGCTCTCCGCCCCCAATGACTCTCTCTGCCTTCGCCAGTCAGCACCGCCGCATTCCAGCTTCGACTCGTTCTCCGCGTGGTTTTCTGTTCTGCGTTCCACGGATGTTTTGTTCTCTCCTGTTTGGTTTAACAAGCTGCTCTCCGGTGACGAGTTGCCACCCGCTCGTTGGGTTAATAAGTCGCCCTGGGGTGCGGAGTGGCTCCCGCCTGCCTGGTTGAGTGGTCTCCTCTTCAGCGCTGCTTTGCTGGCCGATGCTTGGACTACTGGACTGCTATCCAGCGTGGATTTCCTGTCCTGTCGCTGGTCTGATGCAGTCCTGTACTTGCTGTCTTCTGGTGATTTGCTGCTCTGGTCATCCTCATCTTGAGTCTGTCAAATAGAGAACAGAGACATAATGATTTATGTATTAACATGGAATGAAAACACATGTTTATCTAAATTGTATCTCCTCGGGTAAATGATAAATGCACAAACAGGCGGGAGTTTTTACAATGACTCAATCAATGTGGACTATAACTATACATACCACACTGGGCATAATTGATAAAACCAAATATGAAATCGTATGCTTCATGAATCCAAGGTCAGGTTTGAAACATTTCTTCACCTGAATTGGCAATAAAATACGAAATCTTGAACGAAGCTTAAAGTGAGAATCAGGATGCTCCACGCTTAAACACATCCACCACCATTCAAGATTGTCCAATTACGCCCAACAGATCCATGCTTATCCAAGACAATACAATCACGAGACAGGAAAAGCAATGGGCCAAGCTAGAGATGTCACTCATGCTGGAATATCCGGCAAGTATCCACATTTTTGTTCCACGTTACAGTATTTACAAATTCCTAAAAACGACCCAGGTGAGTTCCCACTCACATGGTTAGAAAGCAAGAGACTTGTTGAGCATAGTTGCTGCGCTCGCTGTGAGCTGACAAGCCGGCTCCGTACTGACGTTTCTTTCAATAAATTCTCAATTTACCCACAAAGCCCCTAACTCTGCGCGAAGGGAGTAATCAAGATCACTGGAACCGCCGCCAGCGGAGGCTGCTGCTGCTGCTGCAGATCCACCCAGACTCGTTCGATCACTTCGGGCCCAGCCCTGGCTAAGTGCTTGCCCCTAGCTCAAGTACGTAGCATACCCAGCTACCTGGGGGACGACCATAGTGTTACAGGCACATCCCCCATTGTCGATCCACTGCTGGATGAGTGCCTCCCAAAGCCGTACGAACCATGGGGGTTACTGACCACGCTTCATTACGCTGCTCAGTGAGGGTTTGCGAAGGGAGGAGAGCACAGAGTGGGAGCGGAGCGCGGTTCAATGGATTTCGATGCACTGCTCTCTGCTGTCAACTACCTAGTACCACGCGGCAACCTGTCTCATGCACGGCGATCGCTCATCCAAGCAATATCCAGCCCTCACGCCTGCGTAGCATCTGATATCTGATGAGACTTGGGTACATTCGCCGGTGATCTGTTCACGAGTGATGGCAGTGTGGTGACATGAAAGCACGGCATATGCTGCTGTTGAAATAAAACACGCTGCACCGGGCAGCTGATTTAAAGGAGCACTTTTTGGGGACAACACAGTGCCAGGCGATTCCCCGGCTACTATACCACTATACTAATACAGCAGTCGCAACTCTATTACCCACGACTCCTATTATATGCACGAGGGTCCATGGCTCAATTCTTCCTATTATCGGCAATCATCACACAATTGTTTGCATAAAAATGAAGTACATTTGCGGATAACATCGTGCGTAAAAGTATCCACAATGCACGGACAATGTGGAGTGATGCACCAGAGTGATTGGTGCCATAATCATATACCGTACTGTATGTAGTAACTGGGAACTTACCCAATTGTCCCGACAGTGATGAAATTCAGAGAGAGACAGTGTAGCGTGCCAATACGCGACAGTTTTGGGCAAAACACAGAGACAGTTCATTTCACAGGTCACATGATCAACCGGTGTTGTTGTTCCGCTTGTTTACCCAGGAAAAGCTCACGAGTCTAACGACTCTTTTTCAATAGGGTTCTGCCAAGTTCTTGCTGTAGGGGGCGATGCTGCACTTTGTAATTTCGAATTGGGTAATTTGTAGGTCCTGTACTCCTTCAGTATTGTGATGTTTGGCCACTTCCAGTTACATTGAGTGTGTGGATTTTTTTATAGCTATGGCAGAGAAAACCAGAGAACTTGGAGAAAACCCAGCTAGAAGAGGGGGAGAACATGCAAATGCCACACAGAGATGTATCCGAGTCAGGAATAGAACCCAGACCCGACTTACTCCGGGGCACAAGTGTGACCACTGTACCACCCTGCTTAGTGTGACTTCTTTAGTCAGTGCGCTACATTCTCCATGACTGTATTTTGTGCTTCAAAAATAACAATTTACAGCCCTTTGCTAATCTACAGGTGGATAAAGGCTTCCCCACACCACGTGCATCACGGGGTTGTCTGACCATGCTTCACCACGCTGGAATCAAACTAAGGACCATGCGTTAACCCTTGCAACTATTTTATACCGAGTGTAAATAAAATGCGGTGTGCTACAGGAACTGTCCGTTACTAAAAATACAAGGTAATAGGAAATCCAATTAAAGGTCATCGATATTTGTGTGGACTGAGTATAAATGGCTACACCACAGTTAGCTGATCAGCGGGTCACGTGTGGTGGGGTAAAGTGTGGGTACTCCCACCTCTTTCAAGATGTCTGGCTAGCGTGGAAGAGTAGGCCAAATACCCTGTAGAGAGGAGCTCTCTAGAGGAGGCCTTTCCATTAGCAATGGTGCGACGAAGCAATTGTTAGGACTGCACCTTTACCAAGGTCCCAAATGCGGTGGGGTTCACCATTGGCCTCGCACTGTGCATTGCAATGACGTCAAGAAACGTCATCCCGTTTGCATGCCTTTGTTTGGTTCTCTGAGCCAAAGGCATTTCCACTAAATCCATGCAAGTGTGTGAAACAAAACAATTGATTTTAAACTGAAAGTGCTGGAGCTCGTTTGGTGAAGAGCCTCTGATGTTGACACCCCCCCTCCTGCACACGTGGTGCACCACGTGTGCACCCCCCCCCTCCTCGGCACCACGTGTGTCACCTTGTGAGGGTGATTCTACAACAGCTACCTAGTGGTAGGTATCGTATACAGCAGGGGTCGGGAACCTATGGCTCGCGAGCCAGATGTGGCTCTTTTGATGATTGCATATGGCTCGCAGATAAAACAAAATATTCTCACTTGTTTTAATCCATCCATCGATTTTTCACTGCGCATGTCCTGTTCAGGGCTGCAGGAGCAATTGTCCATTATTTTAATTGGATGATACTGGCCTACGTTTGCCGTTGCTGGGTAAAACAGGTAAACGCCCCCTTTTGAATCAGTCTGAGACTGCGTCTGCTCGGTCATTAGCTCAAAGCTAACCCTTCGACGAAGAAGATGGCGAAAAGAAAAAAAGACGACGAGTATCGTACATTTCAGGACGAATGGACCGAAGAATTCGCCTTTGTGGAGAGAGCGGGTTCTGCGGTGTGTCTAATTTGCAATGACAAAATTACATCGTTGAAACGGTCGAATGTAAAGCGGCACTTCGACACGCGCCACGCTACCTTTGCATCAAAATACCCTGCGGGAGACAGCAGAAAGAAAGCGTGCCAAGAGCTTCTGAGCAGGGTGCAAGCTAGCCAGCAGCAACTCCGCGTATGGACCCGGCAAGGTGACTATAATTCGGCTAGCTTTGCTGGTTCTTTAGCAATAGTGAGGAACGGAAAACCATTCACAGATGGCGAGTATGCTAAAACGTTCATGCTGGATGTAGCCAATGAACTTTTTGATGATCTTCCGAACAAAGACAAGATAATCAAACGGATACAAGACATGCCTCTGTCGGCAAGAACTGTTCATGATCGTACCATCGTGATGGCAAACAAAGTGGAGGAAATGCAAGTGAAGGACATAAATGCAGCGCCGTTCTTTTCTCTGGCTTTGGATGAGTCAACAGACGTGAGCCATTTGTCGCAGTTCAGCGTGATTGCAAGATATGCTGTTGGTGACACACTGCGCGAAGAAAGTCTTGCTGTTCTGCCATTAAAAGGGTCCACAAGAGGTGAGGATTTATTCAAGTCTTTCATGGAGTTTGCTCAAGAAAAAAGTCTACCTATGGATAAACTTCTCTCAGTGTGTACTGATGGTGCTCCGTGTATGGTGGGGAAAAACCAAGGATTTGTGGCGCTTCTCCGTGAACATGAAAATAGACCCATCCTAAGTTTCCATTGCATTATACACCAGGAGGCACTTTGTGCTCAGATGCGTGACAGGCAGTTTGGCGAAGTGATGTCGCTGGTCATTCGTGTGATCAACTTTATTGTTGCCCGAGCCTTAAATGATCGCCAGTTTAAAACACTGCTGGATGAAGTTGTAAATAACTATCCTGGTCTGCTTTTGCACAGCAATGTGCGTTGGTTGTCAAGAGGGAAGGTGCTTAGCCGTTTTGCGGCTTGCCTGAACGAAATCCGGACTTTCCTTGAAATGAAAGGCGTCGGGCATCCTGAGCTAGCCGACACCGAGTGGCTCCTCAAGTTTTACTATCTCGTAGATCTGACTGAACATCTGAACCAGCTCAACGTGAAAATGCAAGGCATTGGAAATACAGTGTTATCCCTTCAACAAGCTGTATTTGCTTTTGAAAACAAGCTGGAGCTTTTCATCACGGATCTTGAAACAGGTCGTTTACTACATTTTGAAAAACTGAGCCAATTTAAAGATGCATGCACAGCAAGTGAGCCCATTCAAAACCTTGATCTCCACCAGCTAGCTGGCTGCACATCCAGTCTCCTACAGTCCTTCAAAGCACGCTTTGGAGAATTTCGTGAGCACACTCGTCTTTTTAAGTTCATCACCCATCCAAACGAGTGTTCACTGAACACAGCCGACCTGAATTACATCCCTGGTGTCTCCGTCAGAGATTTTGAAGCAGAAGTGGCTGACCTGAAGGCCTCAGACATGTGGGTGAATAAGTTCAAGTCACTGAATGAAGATTTGGAAAGAATCACACGACAGAAAGCGGAGTTGGCGAGCAAGCACATGTGGACAGAAATGAAAAAACTCCAACCCGAAGACCAGCTGATTCTCAAAACTTGGAACGCGCTTCCTGTCACATACCACACACTGCAGCGTGTGAGTATTGCTGTATTGACCATGTTTTGATCTACGTATGCATGTGAGCAGTCATTCTCACATCTTAAAAACATCAAGTCCAACCTACGATCACGTTTAACGGATGAAAGCCTCAACGCTTGCATGAAGCTTAACCTCACCAAGTACCAACCCGACTACAAAGACATCAGCAAATCCATGCAGCACCAGAAGTCGCATTAATGGTGAGTGTTATAACAACATTATTTAAAAGAATAAATTCAGAGGCTTATTATACTGACATTTAGTTGAATTCACTTTTAAAATATATTATATGGCTCTCACTGAAATAAATTTCCAAATTTTTTGCTTTCATGGCTCTCTTAGTCAAAAAGGTTCCCGACCCCTGGTATACAGCATAAAACCTGCCCATCGCGGCAGGGGTCACGTTCTTTTAAAATTTGCCGCCAACGGCTAATCCGCGATCCTCAAACTCAAAGGCAAATGCTACAGGAAGTCAAATCACTTGACTGGAGGCCGGGAACACCGCGTGTCCTGGGACCCGCGATCGGCCGCACAGGGGACGAGATGGAGGCAGGAGGGCGCCGCGTGTCCTTCTTCTTCTGCGGCGGCAGCAGCAGCATCATCTCGAGCAGTGCAGTTACCACGAATGGTCGAGCCACAGGGAGGGCGCGATCAGCAAACTGTACCTCAATACATTTGGCAGGAAACCGCAAAACCGCAACCAGTAAACCCGCGCGAGAGGGAAAGGTTTTCTGTATCCTGCTGGTGTGCACAGTGCACAGCATATGATGACAAATTGATGTTTAAGTGGCATTGTTGCCATCCAACAGTGGATTACACAGTGCAGTGCGTGATCGGCTCTCATCTGTTCCTCTGTTGGCTTCAATCTGGCAACTCTAACCCACGACCAACCAGCTCCAATCGAAATGCAAAAACGCCTTTACTAGTTTACTCTTTGTGGCGTCAAGCAGGGGAGAAGACAAACATCGCATGTCAGGAGTTGTGTGATACCAGCCGCAGGACCAATGATGGACTGGGACAACAAAATCGGCCATGGGGAATTTTTGTAAACACAGCGGCCCAAATGGCCGTGCGATCTCATTGGCCCATTTGGGCTTGTCCAAAAAACAAATGGTCCGGTGAGGAATAATCTATGGGTCTGCTGAATATATGGGGGGACTTAACGCAAACGGAGTGTAAATAAGCAAGAAGTGTACACATCAGAGGCGATAACATGGTTTCACTGTTCGTTTTACTGTCGTCACATTTGTAATTTCCCCACACAGACCGGCCCACCGGCCCTCAGAATGGACCGGCCCCCCCACCGGTCATTGGCCTCGACTGCCCCCTGGCCAGCCTGAGCCGACACAGGACTCTCCAGCGATTCCTGCTCAAACACCCCCCACCGCCACGTTCTTACAACTCAAAATCGGGTCACTCCAGCTCAAACTCGAACCCCAAGGTCAGCTGTAAAAATAACTTTGTTAGAGAGTACTAAAAAAAAAGTTGTGAAGATGGAATTGGTGACCTCTGCTCTGAATACGCGTCACGTCCCACAACTCCATCCATTACAAAGCGGTGTCCTCGAGAGCTGGGGCCGGCGACTTTTAAAAGAAGAATTGGCATTTTTGAGGTTTTTTTTTTAAAGTCTTTGACCAAAGTAGTTGGAGAGCCGCATCACACGCAGAGCTACTTGTACACAAACACAGCCGCAGCTATACAGCAGATGGCAAACACACATTGTGACTTGACAGGTGACGGAATACACTGCGTCTATTTCGCTTTTTATCAAATTAGTTCCTCTTTAACACTAACAGTTTGACTGTTGTATTTTTTGTTGTCACCAAGACATTCCACGGTGACCCGTTTCCCTGTCATATTTAAAAAAAATGAAATTACTTATTATCTTTGCGTGCAAGTTATGTTTAAAGGTTTACGTATTTTTTGTTTGTTAAACTGCTGCCCGCAAGGGGGCTGCCAAAGAGCCCCCGCATGCTGCCCGGGAGCCGCAGGTTCCACCACCCCCTTCCCTTCGTGCTCTGGTGTCTCGAGGGCAGCGCTGTTGATGAATGTGTCGAGGTTGTTGTTGTTGTTGTCCATGCATCTGGTAACGTTATCAGTGGAATCCCATTGGCAGTCTTCAAGCATCTGGCCGCATGGACCGCCAATGTCAGCTCTAGAACCATGACCTGGTCGCTCTATTGGCCCAACTGGGACGCGTTAACATTCAACTTCTCCCCACGTGTCAGGTCTTTGTTGTGTGGTATATTTTAAATGGTGTGTGGTAGAGCATCTAGTATGCGGTATCTCGTGTGTGCTACTGGTACGTGGTATCTGCTATGTCGGAGCTACTGTGCAGCATATGGCATCGACTTTGCGGTGTGTTGTACACTGTGATATCTGCCGTGATGTATGTGGTATTTGCTTTGTGTAATATGCGATATGCTATGTTGCTATCTGCTGTTTTAAACACTGAATGGGCACGTGCTGTGGTATCGTTGTGTGCTCTATCCGCTGCTGTACCGTGTGTGCTCTATCCACTGCTGTACCGTGTGTGCTCTATCCGCTGCTGTACCGTGTGTGCTCTATCCGCTGCTGTACCGTGTGTGCTCTATCCGCTGCTGTACCGTGTGTGCTCTATCCACTGCTGTACCGTGTGTGCTCTACCCACTGCTGTACCGTGTGTGCTCTATCCACTGCTGTACCGTGTGTGCTCTATCCACTGCTGTACCGTGTGTGCTCTATCCACTGCTGTACCGTGTGTGCTCTATCCACTGCTGTACCGTGTGCGAGTTCACCTGAGGGCCGCGCCTTCTCTTCCTCGCTGTCCACGCGGCGGCCGCCACCGTCAGCATCGCGGCCGCGGCCAGCAGCGCCGTGCCGGGGGCACCGAGGGGCCACATCGCGGGTGGGACGACTGCGGCAGGGGCGGCAGGCGGCGGCAGGGGTAGCAGGAAGCAGGGGTAGCAGGCGGCAGCAGGAAGCAGGGTTGACAGCAGCAGGCGGCGGCAGGGACAGCAGGAAGCAGGGCGGTATCACGTGCAGAGGGCGGCGCCTGGGAGACTGCGATAAGCAGAACTAACCCCAAGGTGGAGCCACGGGCATCACGAAGCAGTTCCCATTCTTGTTCAATGGCATGACGGAACAATACGTTCAAGAGCTCGCTGCGAAACGTCGAGTCCCGCCAGGCACGTCGAGGAGGGCTTCGCGAGGGAGTTCGTTGTCGTTTCGCGATTTCCTCATCCGACAAAGGAGCGCGCGATCACCGCCGGGTTCCTCTCCGGGCCGTGGTTCGAGTCGCGTGGCCGCGACTGCACCACCACTGTGGCCTTCTCGTCTTTAAGTTCGGGGCTACGAAGGAGGCCTTTGCTCATCGGCCTGTCCGACGTTCCGATGCGGTTGACAGTGGGACCGTGGTCTTTGCAAGACGAGGAATGGCAACGCCGGGCGGAGGTGTGCGACGACGTTTGGGTCTCGAACGAGGAGGCGTTTTATCGGGACAATAAAAAACTGCACAGCACGATCGTTAACCTCGTTAAGCAGACACACTCAGAGCCATGACCACGCAGGTAGCCCGAGTGGAGGGTTATTACCCTGCAATGCCCTGACCACATGGCCACTGGGGGGCCACGTGTTAGGCGAGCTCAGGGTCTGCGGTGAACAACCAATAACACGCGCGCGAGGGGGCCACGTGTTGTTCGCCGCGGACCCCCGGCCCTGTGCTTGACCCCGTCGCCTAGCGACCGCGTCTGCGCACGACGACGTCGAGGAGGAGGTCGCGAACCGGGGCGGCCCTTCCTGTCGAGGCGCCGCCAGACGGCGTCGCGCTCCTGTCGCGAACGGAGTCCCCGATTCGCGATTTTGGACCCTGTGTGGCGAACGCGCTCCGCTGGGATACTGGGAGACGGCCGGTGTGGCGCTCCCGGCGGGCTAGCAGGTAGAGCGGGCACGGCGGGCAGCGGTCGCGCTCTCTGTCGCGACGCCGAGAAGCGCGACTCCGTGTCGCGCTATTGCTCCTTTTTGGTAGGAGCCCCGTGCGTGTCGCGCCCGCTGTGGTCCCGCGGGTCCCCAGGTTCGAGTCCGACCCACGGTTCGGAGCGATAGCAGAGAGGGGGTTTGTGAGCCTGGCTTGGACCTCGCCTAGGTTGACTCGGACATCAATTAGTCTGTACATGATGTGCTGTGGTCAATGTCAGTACGAGAGACGAAGGCTAAATGCGGGTGCATGCTCTTGGTCCATGTCTTGCATGGATTGTGTGCTGGTTCATTTCATGTATGGATCACGTTTGCTGTTTTTCTGATGTATGTACAGTATTGTGTGCTGATGTATGTGGTACTTTTGAGCCTATCTATGCGACGTGCGAATCATGTCTTCTGGTTCACGTGATGTGTGAAGTGTCATTGTTGGTACATGTGGTGTGCATGCTGGTTCATGCATTACTTTGATTGAATTGATGCATGTAGGCATTGTGCAGCGCAGAACTGACTTTTATGTGCTTAAGTTTATTACTTGTGGAGAACATATGTGCCTTAACACTGCATTAGCACTTGCTGCATGCTGGGTCCCATTGCAGTGATATATGAGTGGTTTGTGTGTCAAGGCGCTTTGTTTCTTCTGACACAGCTTAAAGGTCGTGATCTGAGCGTGCCTTTTTTCACTCCAGCGCTGTCCTACCAGACAGTCTCGTCCCTTCACCTGATGAAGGCCGCTTGTGTTGTGGCCGAAACGTCGTGAGAATATTATTGTGTTATTTTATTTTATCAATTTATTATTTTATTCTCATTCTACGTGACTTTACCGAAAGAACCAAAGATCTAATACACACGTAGGGCGTTCTCATTCAAACGTGCTGGTTTCGCGTTGATGGTGCAGTTCAATCCCTGAATGCTATGGCACGAGTTGGGTACTAAACTGGGCCTGATTTATGAGATGTTGCAATCCAGGTTTTACCAACAACAACAGAAGCCTGATTATGGCATGGTGCACATTCCACGGCTTTTATGCAAAATAGCAGAGACTGGATTTCTGCAGGAAACTGTCTTCAAGTCTCAACACATGTATTAATGATAAACCTCAAGATTCCTTTGCATGTGTTAAGTATGCATCAACCCTTGGGAGCTTTGGTCATCAAAGCAGACATTTGAGAAAGCGCTCTCCATTGGCTCTTGTTCTGTGTTCGTCTGACTCCTTGTGGCCTGAGCTCAGCTCATTCTCGCTCCACGTATATTGTCTGGGCGAGCGGAGAACTCGCTGTATGGTGCACAACTGGTTAGTGTGTTCACAGCACTGTCACAATTATGCAGAGTGAAAATGTTTCGGCTAACTTTTAGGGGACATTCATTGTTAGGGATGACATCTCTTGGGGAATGTGTGTGAGCTTCAGCTGGATAGCTAGCTTTGTTGCATTAAGTAATACATAGTACGTTTGTGTAGTTACAGACCACGTGAAGCAGTATCAATAAATATATTCACTTCGGGTAAATTCCGTATGGAGAAAGGAAATTGGCAAATTGCTCCAAACGCCACGTATTGTATACACATTTCCTTTAAAGGCAGTTTTATTACCAATCTATTGAGGTTGTGTCAGTTGTTCTTGTGCACCACTAACAATGCAATATCAGCAAGTTGTTCACTCCGAGTAATACCAGCATATTATCTTTCTGACTGAATAAAACAATCTCGGGCATTATTAACCTTAGGATGCCCGAGTGGGTTGAATACCGTTATGCTCCTAATTAGTTCAGGGTAGTGTTTTTTTTTACAGAAACAATAGGGTATTCATAAAAGGTAGTGTGTACATGCAGTTAAATAATTCAATGTGCTGTTTATACGGTAACATAATACTGTAGTTAAATGCAATCTCGAGCTGGCAACTCATGTGCCCCATATCATCTGTCTTAAATAACAGAGACTCCTTTTGGCCATGCATTGTGAAGATGGAGCAATTAAATCCAACAAGGCGCGGCTCTGTGTACACGGGCAGAGTCGACTGCTCGAGGTTGCTACGTGACCACGCTCTGTGCTTGTGTCACTTGAAATTATACTGGTAGGAACCTCCTGGTTACACCACCAGCCCACAGGGGATTATTGTGTCCGTCCGTCGTGCATCCAAAAACGGGAGGGGTGGGGCTGGGTGGAGAGGGGAGGGTGGGGAGGGAGGGGCTGGGTGGGGGGTGGGAGGGGTGGGGACGGGCTGGTCACCCCGTGGTGCCCTTATAAAACTCAACGTTTAACCTACTCATGCCGGCTTATGCCCGCCCGCACAGTCGGACATATTTGCGGAATACACCTGGCCATTGACCCTGGCCATTGACCGAGCAATCCAACGTTCCTACCAACTCCCTCCGCAGGAATGTGTTATTTCACTGGTGCCTCCGTGTGATTTGTAATCGGTTATATTTTCGAAAACGATTACCACTTGCTGAACAGTATTAATCCAAAATATAAGAATTAGTTTTTTTTACCTTTTTTCTGGCAACTAAACAGGTGTTAAGTTGTTAAAACACCAAACTGAAACCTTTTACAAGGAATCATGTCTGCATTAACCACAAGACACTTCTCTGAGTGGGTGTAATGATTTTGTCTTCCCCTCCCGTGACAACTGCCCACTGTTGTTACAGATGCATATCTGCCCACTCTTATCTCTGACTAAGCAGCATGTAATCAGCTTAGCCGTCTCGGAAACGGGCGCAGGAGGTCCGACTCCTCTAATACTGTCAACACGACGGACAGTGCTGGACACCTTGACACAGGTCTGTATTTTTAACATGTTTTTAACTGAGCGCCTTGCTATAAAGTAGCGTTATTGGTAATGTTTATGGTGGATTCACACGGTATGATCCAGCAGAGGGCAACCTCTACAAGGGAAAGTATCTACTGGCACTCTCAAATGGTATGAAGACAACTCGTAGACAACGTCTCAGCGGCACGAGTGCTGCACTGTCACGTTTCCTGCCTTTCCCCAGCCAACAAGACAAGCATGTCAATATAATAACACCAACGAGTCAGTATTTATAGTTATAGACCCATTCAGACAAAAGTTCAATTTATCTGTAAATATGTTGCAAATGTTTATCAATACATACCATATTTTTGAAAAGTGATTGTATAACATTAAAAATTTAAATGCTGCACACTATTCGTTTTGTAACATTCGTTTAAGCAAAATGTATTGTTGTTTCAAGAGAGCCGGAAGGCTACTTAATCCTATGCTTTGGAAAGATTGTGTCCTTTCGTTAGTCTGAGACAGCATTCTTCACAAATGTTCAGAGGGGGGCCACTTTCGCCGATAAGACATCATCAGTGTGAGGGCCGCCACACCGCCGGCAAGGGGTGTTTCACATTTTCTGTCTTGTCGGGAGGCCTCACGTCAGGCGCTGCACTAAAGGCCACCAGGGGCCACCAGTGGAACTACGGGACCTGCAATGCAGAACACTTGTCAGAGGGAACACTGCGTGTTTTAATGACAACCAATAAAACAACGTCCTGTAAACGTCCAACGCGAGGCCAATGTAGACGTGTCTGCTTCTCTGCAGGGCTAGGGAGAGGCCGTGGCGGATATGTCCCTGTTTAAAGCACGCGACTGGTGGTCCACCAGTGCAGGGCAACAGGAGGAGTTTGACCAGGGCTGCCTCTGTGTGGCCAACATTGACAACAGCAGCACTGGACATGGTAAACGCCGTCTTGCCTCTGTCCATGTGCATTTCACTTTTACGCGCTCGGTTGTATCCTGGTGTATTCCGCTTAATGTTGCATTGCAGTTTAACTCCTTTCATTGGCTTTTCAGTTTATTTGTTCGTAACTCGATATTAATGTCACAGTTAAATGGCCTAAGCTACAAATAAGCAGTCTGAAAGTATTCTCTTGCAATCATCACTCAAAAACACTGACATCTTACTGAAAATGCAATTTGTTACTAGTACAGCACAC